TCTATTTTATTTTCACTGTCTGAAGTGATTGTCCAGCATTAACAGCCTTATAGAGGTAGAAGGGTTGACCATACATAGCATTTCAGAACTTTCATTTTGGTAGTCATTGACATGTTTCTATTTTTCAGGATTGGGCTCATTTTATTGAAACTAGCCTTAGCCATTGTAATTCTCCATTTTATTTCTGTGGAGCATTTGGCATCAGATGTTATCATACCTAGATATTTAAACTGTTCGACTTGTTTGATCTCTTCACCTGTGCTAATGAGATTACAACTAGGATTTGCTGCTTTTTGGATATTACCATGCATTCTGTTTTCTTTACATATATAAATATTATGTTCATCTAGCGCTAATTGCTACCATGTTCTACAGCAGGCTCTGTGCGCTGTACAACTTTTTGTAATCAAATCCCGTATAGTTCTCACTGTTGAGAAAATGAAGACACATTTAAGATCTGTGGCATTATTATATCTAGTGTCCAGTACTACATTTTATTCAATCTTCCATTCCCGGTACCGGTACAAGTCTCGCCCCCCCATGATGTGGCCCCACACCAACTTATTCTTGCTAAGTCACTGACTGGAAATTTGCATCAACCCTATTAAAATGCATCCAGCTTTTTCCCCTCTCTTCCCAGCACTCATGGTATGACACATCATAAAAATAACATAATATTGATATCTTTTTTTTATATTAACATAATCAGTTTTGGTCCTCTGTGGGTCATGTTGGTGCAATTTGCCATGTATGTTGGATGTTATTTTTCTTCATTTGATTTTCTCTGCTTTCTAGTGCATTTGCTCGAGGATTTGTCAATATTTACATTTATAACGGGACAACTGTTCTAGTCGATCTGTTTGAATGCCTGGTGTAGAAATAACATTTTTACTACATTCTACGAGATTGGACTCAGATTTATAATTATGTCTGCTGTTATTACTGAGACAGTTACGAGTGTGCCCCAATTAGCTGGACATTGTTTTAGTCAAAATTTTGCTACTACCTGAATTTTAGTGAGTTGGATTCACAGCTGATTAACATTTCACAGATTTGTATTTTTGACTCTGATTTAAAAGAACAACTGTTTTTTCTTGGGATCTAACGTTTTCAAGTGCCTGAGAAGTCTTTCTACCATGGTCCGACACTCTGCACCTAATACCCAGTGCACACTGCCAATGGAATTTGTTGGGGCCTACTGGAGTGGGCTGCACTTATTATAACAGTCATGCTAATAATAGGATTTTGGTTATCGCAGGATTATAATAAATCCTGGCATCTGATCTCTCATTATGTTTTTATAATGTACTGTACAGTAAAAAAGTTCTTTTTTAGTAGGCATCTGGAAAGGCAATAGGCATGCTCAGCTTTAACAACTGTAGTTTAATCATTGACAGAATCCTATAACAAATGTACAAGGAAGCAAAAAAAAAGTTTTGAAAATATGAAAATGAAATAATTTTTTTAAAAGATATATAATATAAAAAATCAAATCAAATCATGAAGCGAAACAACATCCAACATGGTTAATTGAAGAGCTACATGACCCAGAAAAGGCCCAAGTAGATTGGGGAGATACATACACACTTTTTTCTATGTCATTGTAGCTTTCACTGGCGTCTGTGGTGTAGCAGCTAGTTGTTTCACCGTCACGCTCTGGAAACGCGAGTTCCATTTCCGGGTGGGGAGAATTTGTATTGGTTATCTTGGTCTTTCTGCTGGGATGCTGTATCCCTCTACTCTAAGCGCAATTGGGCTTCCTACTTGATCTATTCTTTAAAGGGATGTAAAATCACTTTCATGGTTTAATTCTAACTATAATAGGAATAGTATAGGCCCTACCTTTAAATGTGTGCGGCGGGTGGTTGGAGGGTGCCACTGGTAGGTCCTTTTTTTTCTTTACTTTCCGTGGGTTTTTTTTTTCTGCCAGTCTGTCTTTCTTTTCCCAGCTCTGGCTAAATGACCATTATTGTGTCAATGTGCCACTCTTTACTCT